TTTTTTTTTTTTTTTTCCAATTTGAAAAGACTGAAGAACAAACAAGGATGTGTCTGTCAGTGGAGGCTGTGGGTTGCGGGTTGCTAGGATGCTGGACAGGTTTCAGAAGAGCTTCCTGACTAAGATAGACCAGGAAGAAAGGCCTGGTGATCTACTCTGAAAGTCAGCCAACAAAAACCCTGTGGATCACAGTGGTCCATCTAAAGCCAATCACAAGGATGGCAGAGGACCAGGCAGCATATCGTTGCACTGTGCATGGGGTTCACGTGAGTTGGGGGCCAACTTGACAGCTACTAACAATATGTATATATAACAGTATGTATATATTCAGAACTGATAGCCTATGAAGAAATGCATGGGGAGTCTTAAAGTAAAAGTCAGGATAGTGGTGATCCCTGTGGAAGGAAAGAGAGGATGCTATTGGGGCGGGTCACCAGAGGGTTTCTAAGGTACTGGAGTGCTCTACTTTTTAGCCTGATTGGTGGATGCCTGGGTGGTTGTTTTGTCATTGTCACTATACATATATGTTGTATCTATCCAATCACATTTAGCAAATTTTTCTTGAAAGAGAAATCTTGGGAGAAGAGGAGAGGGAAGTGAAAATAGTTCCTGTGAGGTTTTGTGTAAGGGGCACATTCTGCATCCCACATACCATTATTAAGCACCTGCAGTGTGCCTGTGGGGCACCATGGTCACTGCAACAAAAGAACATGGTCCCTTTGAACTTAACTGAGACCTGAGCATGCCCTTCTCACCTCACACCTCTTAGCCTGAAGCACCTGTGTCAGAGTCATAAACTAGGGGCTCACCCTCCTGCTCTGCCATTTCCTAACTCCATGACCTTCAAGAATAACTTCATCTCTGTGCCTTAGTGCCCTTATCTGCAAAATGAGGGTAACCCAAATTCAGAGGTTCCACGGGGCTCAAATGAGTGAATACAAGTAAAGCCCTGAGGACAGGGTTTGGCATAGCGTAAGAGTGTAACACATGTTAGTTCTTAACTCTTCATTCTTCCCTGGAGCCCCACAATAGACTCTTCATCCTGTGACAGTACCTGAAAGCAAGGGTGCTGTCAGGCTGCCTGGGTTTGACTCCCAGCTCCATCCTGGACAAGCTGTACGGCCTTAGGCAAGTCACACAACTTCTCTGTGCTTTCAGTTTCCTAATCCATACAATGGGGAGAGTGGTAGCATCTATCTCAAAGGGTTGCTATGAGGATTGAGCTCCTTATCAGGGGGTAAATGTTTACACCAGAAGCCCCCCCCCCGTATGTCCTGGGGGTGGGGGGCTAGAAAGTCTTGAACTTACACCGTCTTCAATCAACTGAGGAAGGGCAAAACCCCAGACCACACACTCACATATAGATACCCTACCAGATATCAACAATGAGCCTTTGGGCTCCCTTCTCACTAAAAGGGGTCCTTGCAACTCAGTGGGAGCCTCAATGTCCAGCCCCTAGGCCCACCCACCCACCAGTCCCTGTAAGGGCTGACCATGTTGTTGGGAGTGCTCCAGTAGATGGGGGAGACGTTCACCAGCTGCTCCTGTGCAGGGTGGTAGAAGGCGACGCTCTGGAAAGGGTTCTGACTCAGGTCCCATCGCCACTGGATGATATCCAGGCCCATGGGCAGGTCTCCTTCCTCGTCGAAGGAAATTTGGTGGCCCAGGAGGGTGAAGTTGACCTTCCAGATCTCCTGAAGCAGCTAGAGGGGTAGAAAGGAAGGGAAAAGGACCTGAGAGAAATTCTACTATCCCACGAGCCTCAGTTTCCACATCTGTAAAATGGGGACAAGAAGCGTTCAAAAAGGGTGCCATTTGGGAAGCAGTGGCTGATAGCTCTGGTTGTTGAATCAAACACATCTGCGTTTGGACCCTGGTTATGCCACTTCCTAGCTATGAGGTCATGGGCCTGTCATTTAACATCTCTGAGCCCCAGTTTCCTCTTCTGCAAAGTGGGTGCAATAAAAATCGTATCTTCCCAGCTCTGGGAAATAAATGAGTTTATCTATGTCAGGAGTTTAGACTAAAAAAAAAGAAAACATAATTCACTGCCATCAGGTCAGTTCCTACTCGTAGTGACCCCTCTGTGGGTTTCTGAGTCGGTTATCTCTACAGAAGCAGATTGCCCAATCTTCCTTCCGAGGAGTGGATGGTGGGTTTGAACTGCCAGCCTTCTGGTTAGCAGTCTAATGCCTTAGGCACTACGCCAAAATAGCAAGTACTCAGTCAGTAGATGGTGTTGTTATCATTTCTTTTCCCTGGGGGTTGCACTAGCCATTCCTTTGGAACCCAGCGCTTGTGGCTGGGAGTTCACTGTCTCTCTCACCTGTATCCTGTGGCCTGAACTCCCTAGTTCTATCCTCAGTTTGCTATATGACTTTGGGCAACTCATTGAACCTCTCTGGGCTGAGACTTCCCAGATGACCCCTAATGGGCTTCCAGTTCAGATATTCCATGAGTTTAGTGCCTAAAGTTTTCCTCTTGGGAGGAATTTATTGGGCTACATCTTAGGGACCCCCCTTGGGGAATGCCAGATAGCCAGGAAGCCAAGGGAACAGTGCTGATTCTAGAAGTCTCTTTGGAGTTTGCAGGTTGCAAGGCCCAAGGGAAGGAGCTCTGGTGGTGCAGTGCCTAAGGCATTTGACTGTTAACCAAAAGGTTGGAAGTTTAAACCCATCAAGCTGCTCCTCTGAAGGAAGATAGAGCAATCTACTTCTGTAAAGATTTACTGCCTTGGAAACCCAATGAGGGTTGCTATGAGTCAGAATCAACTCTATGGCAGTGGGTTTGCTTTTTTATTTTGTTTTGTTTTTAGGCCCAAGGGCAATGGTCCTAGTTGCTCCACCTGAGAGGTGGGATGCGACATCCAGGCAGTTGGCCTGAGGGTGGGGTCAGGATGGAGGAGAAGAGCTGGAAGCCCCTGGAGAGCCAGGGCCTAGTGTCCCTATCACAACTCTGAGGTGATCTTGCCAAACTGGGCTGGGCAACCTGGGATTCAAGGCATCCAAGACACAGGATCAGAACATTTTTCTCGAAATTCCCCTGGGTGGCAGGGGCCTTGGACTATTGGTAGCAGTTGGACATTTTAGAGGGTCTTATCAGGTCTGAGGGAGCTCTGGTAGCATTGTGCCTAAGGCACTTGACTGCTAACCAGAAGGCTGGCGGTTCAAACCCACCAGCCACTCCTCAGAAGGAAGGTTGGACAATCTACTTCTGTAGTGATACTGCCTCAGAAACTCAAGGAGGGGTTGCTATGAATCGGGTCCAACTCGACGGCACATAACAACAACAACAGCATCAGGTCTGAGCCCCACTTCCCCTTCCTCACGTAGTCTTGCCACCACCCTAGGCAGAGATTCTATATCCAAGGCAGACCTGACTCCAATTCTCCAGCCCCACCCTCTCTCCTGAGACCAGACACTGGTGTCAAGAATGAATGAGGAGAGAGAGAAGGAAGGGAAGAAGGGGTGAAGGAAGGATGGGGGTAGGATGTATGCATTAGGCTTTTACTCTGCACCAAGTAATCTGCATACACTATAGTTAATCCTCTCAGTGACTCAGCAGCATAGATATCATTCCTTCTGTTTATCAGATGAGAAAACTGAGGCTCAGAGATATTAACTCATTTGCCCAAGGTCACACAGCTAGCGGTGGTGAAGCCAGGATTTGAACCCAAGCTTTTCTTATTCTTAAACCTCCACTCAGCTTGGTATCACCTGCTTCCAACATATGGACAAATGAGCCACAGCTGAGATGCTGTGGGTGGACAAAGGTGGAGAGAAAGCTGTGGTAAAAAAGAATGTGAGGAAATGGGAGGGGGCAGCAAATGAACCAGGCTGGGCCCTGGTTCTGCAGGTTGGATGGTCCCAGTTAGGTTCCAAAGGTTGCACTTCCTCCATTTGACCAGATGATTCTGACAATTTCTTCTCTCACAACTCTGACCCTCCATGATTCCAATAGCCTGCTAAATATTTTCCCTTGAACAGGAGATTGCCAGTCTGGGTTTCTCAGCCTTCCCCAATCTGATCCCCACCACCACTACCACCACCACTACCACCATGGGCAGTACAGCCACCCAGCCACCATCTCCAAGACTCCTCATCACCTGAGGCCCTCTCCACCTCCTCCCTCAGCAGCGCCTTTCTCTCCATTTGTCCCCACTGCCCCTGCCCTATTTCACCACCACCTCCTCCCCTACTGCTGGGACCACTGTCACAGCTTCTGGAAGGACTCAGATGGCATGGGGTTGAGTCTCAGCCTGGTCACTCTCTAGCTGTGTGATGTCACCTCTTTGAACCCCAGTTTTATCTGTGTATGGAGAGCAACAGCTTAGTAATAGTGTCAGCCTACAGGATGTTTGGGGATGAATGAAAATTCATGGAGTGGGCTTAGCAGCAGCACATGAATTCTCTTTTAAAAACAAGTCATTTTTTAAGGGAATATACTCATGACCATATATAAGGTTGGCAGATGATATTTTTATATACGTATTTGTATGTGCTATAAGAATTTCCATATAGATAGAACTAACAGGGGGCAAAGTTATGATAATTTCTTAGGCACAGTTAGCCACCCTAATGAAGTGAGTTGTTGGACCTGTGGGCTCGGGGCTATGGTCACAGGGGACATCAAGCTCAATTGGCATAATATACTACACAAAAACATCATTCTACATCCTACTTTGGTAAGTAGTGACTGGGGTCTTAAAAGCTTGCAAGTGACCATCTAGATGCAACAATGGGTCTCTCATCGTCCAGAGCAAAGAAGAATGAAGAAAACCAAAGACACATGGAAACAATAGTCCAAGGGACTCATGGACCATGTGAACCCCAGCTTATATGACCATGACACCAGAAGAACTAAATGGGGCTTGGCTACCACTGTCAACCACTCGGAAATGGATCAGCGCGGGAGATCCTGGACAGAGTGGGAGAACAATGTGGAACAAAACTCAAATATATATTGTAATATATATATATATATATATATACACACACACACACACCACACACACACACACACACACACACCAGGTTTACTGGTTTGATAGAGCCTGGTGAGACCCCTGAGACTATAGCCCCTAGTCACCCTTCAGGTCTGGAATTGAACTCACTCCTGTGGCTTCAAGCCAAATAATAGACAGGCATGTAGGGTAAACATTTCTATCAGGTAGATATACTCCTTGGAGCAATCAGTCATGGGAAAACAGAAGGGCCACATTTGTACAGGGAGATAGCTCGGGGGGCAGGAATGCATAGGAAAAAAGAACACAGGGAAGAGGTAACCTCTGGGAGGAAGTGGGAAGTGACATTGTGGAGAATTGCAGTCAATGTCATGAAACAAAATGTGTATGAATTGCTGAATGGAAAATGAATTTGCTCTGTAAACTTTCACCCAAATCATAGTAATTTTTTTAATTGCATTTTTTCAAATATAAGTACTTAAGGTTGCAAGGTTAGGCTCCAAGATTATGGTATGGTGAGGTATAGATAAATAGAATTTTTAAAAGAGCTAAGTAAATTCCTCTATGGAAGAAGTGACCAGGTATTAGGGGAGTGGGGGATCTGAAAAACAGGAAGAAGAGGACACCAGAGAGGGGGCATGGCATGGGTTTGGGTGTGGCTGAGCAATAGAGTGGGAGGCTGGCCCTGAACTAAGAAAGTCAAGGAAGGAACTGGTTAACAACAGAGATGTCTAACATCAAAGTGTAAGTTGTATGTCTCTGATGTAAATCCCTTCCACTTCTACGATGCTCAGTAAAATCTTCTACACCCCTGAAGTCTTCATGTGAGTAGGGTATTGTGTACCTGTGTGTGAATCAGAAAAACACAGATTTCAATTCCAGGTCTGAATCACAACCTACCAGTTGCTGTTGAGTTGACTCTGATTCGTGGCGACCTCATGTGCATCAGAGTAGAACTGGGCTCCAGAGGTTTTCAGTGGCTGATTTTTCGGAAGCAGACCATCAGGCCTTTCCTCAAGGTGCCTCTGAGTGGACTCAAACCGCCAACCTTTTGGTTACAGCCAAGTGTCAACCATTTACACCACCCAGGGACTCAGGTCTAAATTGAGGTGGTATAGAATTAGGTCACTGTACATGAGGCAATGAGACCAAAAAGACCCCGCTGCTATTGAGTTGATTGTGAGTCATAGCAATTCTATAGGACAGAGTAGAACTGACCTGTAGAGTTTCCAAGGTTGTAACTCTTTATGGAATCAGCCTGCCTCATTTGTCTTCTGAGGAGCAGCTGGTGGTTTTGAACCTCCAACCTTTTGGTTAGCAGCTACATGCTTTAACCACTACACCACAAGAGTTGCTCTGATTGAGAAGATCCATAAACCTGAAGCAAGACTTCAAAGAGATGGGTGTTCTAGGCCCTAAACCCTGGAGAGAGCAGGACTTCCATTGCCTGGGTGGTTTTTTTCACCTGAATCTCTAAAGATAGACTATTCTGGACTGTGAGGATTAAGTGTAATAAAAGGAATTTTGCTTTGACACCAAGAAGAGCTTCTAGTTCTATGAGCAAGGGAAGAAAGCAGAGGGATGGTCCCCTGGCTTCTCACATCTGCTTACAAAGAACCCATCAAGGAAGAAGGGCTCCCTGTGGTTGCCATAGTAACCACAGAGTCTGCACCTGCATGTGGGGACTGGCTTATAGCAGGCCCAATGCTCACCTTCCAGGGGTACACCACCTCCTTGGAGCAGCTGCTCTCATTGCATCCTAGGAGGCTGTGCAAGGCATAGGCCACAGCATAAACTGCAGAGTACACGTTGTAGACCACACGCTCACCAGAGAGTGTGAGGATGGAGTTGAAGGACTTGGTGGTATCCAGGCAGGTGTCACACTCCTGGTTACAGGTGGCTGGTGGGCTGGTCTTGTTGGGTGTGGGTGGCTGGGCCTGGGCACGGTGCACACGGAACTTGCTGAAGCGTGGGATGGGCACACTCGGGGGAGCGACACCCAGGAAGGTACCTGTGTAGCGCAGCTCAGTGAGGTTGTGTAGGACCGGGTCGATAGCCCAGGACTCAGAGGCAAGCCACACGGTGCCCGTGAGGTTCTGGCGCAGCACCTCATGGAAGAAGTTGTACAGGCCTAGGTCAGGAGAGAGCAGGACCACAATGTGCGCAGAGCTCTCTTTCAGTTTGTCCACGATGGCCTCCAGGCGCTCTTGCTCATATGCTGTCATAACCAGGTTGGGCTGTGGCGTGGGCAGTGTCTCCTGGAAGGCGATGCAGATGTCCTGACCCACCAGCTGCTTGTTGAGCAGCTGGCTGTTCTCGCGGCCGTAGTCATCATTGCTCACAAGCACGATGATCCAGTTCCAGCTGTACTGCAGCATCAGCAGCACCAAGGCCTTGATCTGGTGCTCGGCTCTTGGCACCGTGCGCAGCACCGCAGGGAAGCGCTGTTTGTCTCTCAGGTCATCGCTGATGGCAGTGTAGGTGATCTGCCGGAGGAGAGGAGCTGGTGCATTAGCGAGAGCCACCCCACCCCCAGTGCCTGGCCTGGGGTCTCACCTGCCATCGTCATCCTGGTGATATTTAGGAAATGTACACTGAGGGCCCCCAGGGCTAGGTTTACACACCACCACCATCCTGGTCTTCACTGTAGTAACATTTACTGAGAACCAACTATGTTGTACCCTGAACTAAATGATTTACCCCATTATCATCCTAGTCATCACTGAAGGAATATTTAATAAGAAGCTACTATGTGCCAGGCCCTAGGCCAGGTGATTTACACCAGCATCAACATGATTACCTTTCCATTAACAATTATTGACCACCTGCTATGCACCATACCCTGAGCTAGGTGCTTGGCCTCATGTTCATCATCTTGCAGCATCTGTTGAGCACCTACTATGTGTGACACCCTGGGCTAAGTGCTTTGCATCTTCACCATCACCTAGAAATATTTATTGAGCACCCACTGTGTGCCAGACCCTAAACTAGATTATTTACACCATTATCATTATGGTCATCATTACAGTGACATTTAAGGAGGACCTACTGTGTGCCAGGCCATAGGCTAAGTGCTCTGCATCAGCATTATCTTGATTATCACTGTAATAACACAGCATACCCACTGTATGCCATGCCCTGAGCTAGGTGTTTTATATCATCATCATTACCATCATCTAGTAACATTTATTGAGCACCTACTGTGTGCTGGGCCCTGAACTAAGTGATTTACAATACTATCATCATTGTTACCATTATGCTATTATTTAGCGGGAGCCTAGTATGTGCCAGGCCCTGGGCTTTTTATCAACATGAGCCTCAGACTTATCATCTAGCAATACTTATTAAGCACATATTGTGTGCCATGCCCTAAAACTGATGACTTGAAGAATAACCACTGAAGTGTACTTGTGAAGATTACAGAAATGGTAAAATAAAAAAAAAGAAAGAAAGAATAGCAATAAGATAATACTACTAACATGTTTTACCGCTATTCATAAGGTTTTCAGTGGTCAGTTTTTTCAGAAGTGGATGGCCCTGTCCTTCTTCCCAGTCTATTAGTCTAGAAGTGCCACTGAAACCTGTCCACCCCATATGGGTGACCCTGTTGATATTTGAAATACTGGTGGCATAGCTTCCAGTATCACAGCAAACATGCAAACCACAACATTATGACAAACTGACAATAACAGCAGCATCTAGCCACACTTATGGAGCACTTGTGTGGCAGACCCTTGGCCAGTGCTTTACAAATAATAATGGTGATAACCGTGATGATAATATTTATTGAGTACCCATTATGTACTAGACCTAGATACAGCTAGGTGGTTTACATTACTGAGCACCTACTGGGTGTTCAGCCCCTGAGCTAAGTGCTTATTATTATTATTATTATTATTGTGATTTGGGTGAAGATTTACAGAGCACATTCACTTTCCACACAGCAGTTCATATATACTTTGTCTCATGTCATTGACCAAAGTTTACCACAATGCAACAGCTCCCCTCCCACTTCCTCCCCATAGTTACCTCTTCCCAGTGTCCATCCCTCCATAC